GAAATGACTCATTTTGGAGGCAGTTTCCCGCAGCCAAATAAAACTTTAAATTACGTAGTCTTGTGAGACAAATTAGTGATTTCTTCGGTATCCTCATTGGCAAAGTTGGAGCTGAGACCTTTATTTTTAAAGTAAGAGTTATAGATGGTAACAGCCTGTATTCATCACCGAAATGTTTCGTTTTCCGTATACTTTTTTCGCATTTAGTCGTCTTACGGCTCTTCCAAGTAATTTAAATTTGATTTTTAACCATATTTTGCAGGACACGCTGCCCGACTGGACCTCCCATTCAGAACATGTATACCGATTATGTCTTCTTTTAAGAAAAATGTTTTTGTTGCCCTCGGCTTGCCTGGAGGCGCTGGATCTTTTTCATAACTGTTCCTTTACTAATAATCCATAAAGTACCCTGTATGTTAGGATAGGAAGGATTTTCGAAGTTTTATATTTGCGATTACGCCTTTCAAGCCATCATTTTTCTTTTATCTTATTTTGCTGAAAGGATTTTCCAATTTTGAATATACTTCCTATAAGCTCGTTTTTGGGCAATCTTCTCTTAATGTGATGGCAGAAACCCAGGTTCGGACGGAAATGAAAACATAAAGTAACTGAAGTTAACCGGCTCCCGCAAGAGAAACGTTACCGTTGTTAGAAACTACTACTCTGCTACCGTTTTCTGCAAATTTCTCTGATGATGAATCTGCGACGGATGTCGAAACGTAAGGTGAATAAAATTATTGTCCTAACGATCGAGTCGTCTTCTTCTCAGATACTGTTAGTGTTGGCGCGGACACTTGCAGACACTATACCAGGTATACGTGGCGAGAAGAGTAAACGCCCTCTTAAATTTTAGTCGAGGTTGAGGAAAAATAATTTGGGAAAATTTAAAAATTTCGCCCAGGCAAACGGCAGTCTACTCAGGCTTTGCGTGAGATATTTTCAATCGTCCAAGTTACCGATGAATAGGCATTTATGGACAATAACTGAATCTCAACACAAATATTCTGCATTTGCGCACAAATAACCTGTTTATCTATGACAGGAACTTTATTCGTCGGACCTTTCTGATGCACTCGAAATTACCACTAGATAGGTAGAAAGATTGCTGAAACTACAGATAAACAGACCGTTTCCAAGGTGTATAAGATAAATTCATAGCAGCCCCGATCCGAGACTTGTTGCAAGAGTCCTCGACTTTGATCTGTCTCAGCCCAACGGGAAAGTACAAAATGGAAATAATAATCAAGTGTTTATTCTACAGCTGTAAGATAGGAGGACAAGTAGGTACTTGAAACGTAAAAGCGAGATAACCTGTTGAACTGGTGAGAGAACGTCGTTAGGTGCAAGGCATGCCTATATTTCGGAAGGTCAGGAGGTGCCATCTTCGTGTTGGATTCGTCAGTACGCCACAGAATTGTAATGCATCTGGTTTTACCTTGGTTTGCAGATGACTCTCACACGCAATATCAGCTAATGTTAGAAGAATTGGATAGTATATTTTGTGTCGGCTAGACATCACCATATTCCGTTTTCTATGAGGTAGAGGTATTTTGCAGAATTCGTGTTAAACTGAGTTTGCACACAAGTAGAAGTATCCGACCTTCTACCTATAAACTGGCAGGAAATCTCAGACGTTACTCTTGTTCTGACTTTAAAATGAACCTCGGGCCTAACTCAAACCATAACATCAACCGTAATCCGAATCTTGAATCTCACCTACCTAGCGCTAATCCTCCACGCCGTAGCCCGAACAGTATTTCCAATCCTCAATCCTAAACTTCTCCAGAATTTAGCGTAAAGCCACCTGTACTAGAGGGATACTTATTGTGGTGTTCTATGCCAGTCCATTCCTTGGATGAATGTGATATGGAATTCTGGCACCCATAACATCGAAGCTGTGAGTAATTTAAAATGCGATTCCCAGTACGAACGGAGTACAAGTTTCTGGAACCTATTCTCCAATGGGAGCCTATAACCGCCTAACACCTGGGTTAACTGCTTGATTTTTACATTCAGAAGACACGTTGGAGAACATACTTGGCTATTCAGCGCTCCAATGTCATTTGTTATTGACTACTTAGGAAATTCTACGTGGAGAGTCCGCTTACTGTATCAGAATTCGTGGATTCCGTACGTTGTAGTCGACAAGTTGGGTAATTTGGTTAAGTATGACTGAACTCACGGTTCCCGGTTGGGCCTCGCAAGTCAGCCGCTTATACCGCTGCTTTTCTCTCGTTTTTTGTGGGTTCGAGTCTCCCCGAGGCCATCAATTTTTTCACAACTGGTTCAAATACGTTTTTTTCAAATCTATAAAGGATGCCCTATTAATTTACAGTCAAGCGAACACAGTCATGCGGTGAGGTGGAAAGCAAGCAAATAATAAAATTAATAAAAGTACAGTTTTATGGAGGCAGAAGATGCTTTTACGGACTGACTTTAAAGTTAAGAGCAATGTGGTCTGCCTGTTGGATCAGGGACATGGCAACTTCAAGGACGGCACGACGCTCTTCAATACCCATTGGAACTGATGTTTTGTGTTGCTGTCCTTCGCCACAACAGGATCCAATGAGAAGTGTTGATCTGAGATTTGATGCCTTGTCAACAACTGGATGACCCTATATTTGGAAATTCAGATTGCTGCAACTAGGTGACCAGTGTCAACCATATAGCCTTTGTTCGCCCTCCGTTCCAAATCAATTCTGGTGTACATTTCTACTAACTCGCTCGACTTCTTCGTAGAATTCGCTCCGCAACAACAAGCAAATAAATAAATGCGCATTAGATCGGCTCTAAGTGTCAGTTTATCTGTTCTCTGAACCCACAGAAAATGTTATCAAAAATAAGATTTGACGAACGTTATAAGTCACTGGGCTGGTAGATCTTGACAGAATTAAAACCTTTTCGATTACGGCTACGTTCTAGGTTTCAATACTGAAAGGATGTTTGCTATGGTAAATGTAAAACAATAGTAGTAGTAGTCATGGTGATACTTGAAAACGCTCCCTATAACCAGTCGATAGAGGTCAACCTGTTAGTTTGAAGGCAATGGAGGATTAACAGAAGAAATACACGATAATAACCGATAATTATATAATATAATAATAAGTACTATAAAATTATTATGATAGTTCCGCCAAAATGGTGCAACCAGACTCGGAGGTCTGGAT